CAATTTTTTGAAAAATGAGTTTTTATTAGATTCATATAAATTTTGACATGGTTAACATTTTTCAATTATAAATGAAAGTCGATTTACATAATAAAAAATCGAGATAATATAAAAGAAAAATTACATGAGGCTTCATAGGCCCAACACATCACGAGATTACCCGATAGTTATCTGCTACCTTTAACCAATAAAGCTAAAATATAGGTCACGTGTACATTATGATCTTGTTGCTAAAACTGCAAATCTTACGTTTTTGATACTTCTGCACTTGCTTAGGATCACGGCAATTGACTATGAGATTATTTCTTATAGATTGTAATTTTAAATTTTATGTTTATAAAACTTTAATAAAGTAAATTTTATGAAAAACATGTAATTTCTATATTACTGTATTACATAAAACTTGAAATAATTATAAAACAAAATATCCGAATACATACATGGTATTGTAAACTGGTTTAAGACAAATCGCAATAATGATATATAAATCATATTTAAAGTAACAAGTCGGAAAATCACGTGAAATTCTATTGTTTGTGTGATGCACTAAAAAGATCGAAAATTCGAACTGTCTATAGGGGTCATAGCAATTGATTAAGATATCGATATCAAATAAATTTTTGTATATTATGAAAATTTACAAATTCTATTGCTATGTATTTAATCCAAATTTGGAACCAATATAAAAACTACTCTAATTTTAAGTTCAATTCTAGTTTGATGTAAGCTAATGCCAAATTATAGAAATTACATGATTTTCATCAATATATATTTAAAACACCAGTTTTTAAAATACTTCGATTTCAAGAATGAAAACCGGATTATATGCATTATCAAAATTATAAAATTTACTTCAAGAATGACGCGTTATTGTATATGGTACGAATTTTTATCTGCATCTCGTGATTGTTCAAATCCAAATGCCTAGAAGTATAATGTCCTAAGCTACGCTTCGGCCAATTATAATAGACTTAGTAAATGAGTATTTATTAAAATTTATTTCAAGCGTATAATATTTTCAATCACGTTATAAAGAAATGATTAAAGATTTATTATAAGAAAATTCTAAATATTAATGCTATTGTAACAGTATGACCATCTTCCCATGTATGTCATTTTCAAAACTTGTATATCTCAATTTACGTGTTTATTTTATTTTATTTAATAATACTGTATGTTATTTTATATATTTCTTAATTATATATAACTTTTATTTAAACAATAAAATATGTCTCTTGAAACTAATATTTTAAACAAAACTATAACTCGTAAATCAGAGTTTAAACGACATCTTCGCTCCAATAATCTCAATGTCAAAAAGGCTACGATTAGTTTTCTTGATGGACATGTGAAATATTTTCAGCGTAAATTTAAATGTTCTGACATTAGTTATATCGAATATAAATCTCGTCTTGATGAAATCGAAGAACTCAAAATAAAGGCTAGACTGCTTAATGACAAAATCACGAGTTTGGGAAACGAAAATGGAATGTTACGAAATGAAAATACAGATTTGCGTAGCGTAATATATTACAGATATAGAATGGCAGTCACTACCAGAGTAGATAGAGGATTATTAGATTTTTTTCAAAGGATGAAAAGATTATTTGATACATATCGAGATAAATACGAAATAGATGATGCTTCAATTTATATTCCTATCTTCATGATATATGTAAATTAACTGACTTCTTGAAACCAAATTAGATTCTAGTTTATTAAGAATATCTGAAATAATTGACGATGTGAAACCTTGGAAGGATTTAATATCAAATGATGTAATTCTAGAGGAGATTTGTTTGTATTTATCTCCAGAAGATTTATTTTTTTCTCTGATGCAAGTTGAAAAATTATTGTATAAGAAATTATGGTTAGATGGTACACAAACCATGTGGAGGGTTTCTCGACAACAACAACCAAATCATAATCATTCTTGCCCCATTCATATGACTGAACAGCAATATTGTTTTTTAAACTTTATATGTAAAACATATCAAATTTGCAATCAACATGTCGATGATTTCGCATTAATCCTTGAACTAAAAATTAAAATTTGTAAACATTGTCGTGAACCAGAGTTAATAAGGTAAATGCTAAAAACATTGGTTCTCAGATTACCAAATATTATAATTAATTTAGTTCGATTTATATAGCCGTTTGACACTTGAACAAGAGAATAATTTTCCATCCGAGCTCATTTCAACATTACATTCAGTGGATTACGCACAGCTTGAAGGAAGATACTTAGATTATTCTGTGCGTGAATTATTAGCCGTGTCTCATTTGGTTTTTTACTTGAAAAGAGAAGTAGAAGATACCTTTAATGAGTATATCGGAGTTCCTGCTAATGAGAAACAAGAATAGTAAAATAAGCGGTCAAAGGTCGTTCGAGAATATTACAATAATGTTTTAAAAATTAAATATCTAACTATTACAGATCAATATTTAATTCCCCAATGACAAACTTCCTTACAACACCAATTTATTCAAAATTCATTTCAATTAATTCGTCAAAATTCATTTTTGATTCCCGAAAACTTTAAATTTGTGTAATTGAAAAAAAGATAAAGTTTTATTTTGCCATTTTATTTCTTTTATTACTTTATGTAATATATATACTTTATAATAAAAAAGTAAATCTTTGTCATATATAATAACGGATATAAACTTTCCTCATAATTATTATTAATTTATATGGACTTCCAATTACAATATTAAGTGGATATATATTAAAATACAACTTTATTGAATAAAAAAATGTTTACAAAACTAAGATTTCAGATTTAGATATACGAATTTTTGAAGAAAAAATAACTAAAGTTCTTAGTTGTCTTCGTAACTTTTTAGTCCGTGATTATAATATAGTCACTTTGTATCATAAATAATGAATACATTAACATAAATTTAAAAAATAAACTACTTTCTGAGCTCATAGAATTATTGAATATGTACTTTATAACAATTCAATAAAAGAGAAAAGCTTTTATTAGTTATCACCGCATACTTTATTTTTATGATTGCGCAACATTATGGACCTGGACCATTCGAAGGGATCCATATGCTCGACACAACCTTATAACCATTGTCTATGTTTAACAATCTAAATGATTGTTTAAACTCTTTAAATTGCATTTGTTTCGCGCAAATATGATAATCGGTTTAACTATGTTGAATATTTATACATCTCGATTTTATACCCACAATATAGTTTTTTTCTTTAATTGTGTAATTTTATTATATGAAATATATGAATCAATACATTCGAAGCATCATGTGATAATTCAAAAAGAAGTCCAAAAAAGGACAGAAAAATAAAGCAAAAATAAAGCTCTTATCAGAATATTAATTATATGAGAGAATAAAGCCACTCTCAAAATGTAAAATTCATATAAGAGTGTAAATAATGAATGTGCTAATATATAAATTAAAAAAATAAAAATAATAAATAAAAATGAACAGCTCTCTGAGCTCCATTCAAAAAGCCGGCTCTCTGAGCTCCAGCCAGAAGTCTAAAGAAGTAATAATTGCTGTTTGATAAAAAAATTACAATGGTAGAAGTTTTACTTCTCTAAATTCACATAGTCTAAAGTCTAGC